CCTATTTAATGAGGTATAATGTAACTTAATAACTCTCTAAGAAACGTGTGAACAAATACTACCTATTCGTAATTGAAATGGGTACCTAAGTATTTATTATCTTTTTTGTTTGTGATTATGAATTAGTTATTGTACATAGGTATATGTACCTAATGTAATTTGCTATGCGATTGTTGCCCTATTTAGTGCCGATGCGAATTGTGTTTATAATCATTTAGATTGGCGACAATACACTATACAAATGTTGGTGGCGAATGTTAAGTAAATACTTGCGACATTGTGAATATGTACCTAATATTAGGCTGTGCTAGAGATATCATCGTGTTTTTCGTTGAATAGCATTCTCTCTTATTCTAAGTGTGTATTTAAAAATAACCGTTCATTAGGCCCCTAAAAAAAATTAGGCAACCTAAATATTATTTTACTCTTGTATTTAATCTATCTGCATAATTTTCTTATAACTGCACAATGGATTTGGCGTGGGACTTGTCCTAAACTCCTAACAAAGAATAACGTCAGACATAGATCATACTCATACATACATACATACATACATAACTACACGCCTGTCTCCCATGGGGGTAGGCAGAGACTAGGGAACGCCAATTACTACGAACATAACAATAGTATTCATACTCATCTAACTGATAATTTCACGAAACATATTATTGATTGTGGACATGTTGTATCATATATCGACATATAGATATAAACACGAAAGAGGTTTCTTACATTGATGGCTCAGTGACGCAAGGTGTGTCCTTTGGTATGAAGTGTTGCCATTTCATTGAATCCTACGCAGGTCTTACTTAATACTTGTTAAACCCAAACTTGTCCGAGATCCTCAAACTACATCACTTCGCAAAGTACTGGCAGAGGTGCTGGCAGATGTGACCAGGCTAGCAAGGGTACAAGCCTATTAAGGTTTTAGTAGACTATATTATTGAATAATTAAAGTTAAATTAGCTTGTGTAACAGAACCTTAACTGTTCAAGTTACTTTAATATCAAGCACGAAAGCATGCTTCAGTTGAGCTTGCTCAATTCTTCAATTGCTCATATCGGGCATGCTTGCGTTCGATTTTTGTACATTTTTGAGCATGTTCAATAGAAACCCTTTGAATGTTCTATTTAGCATATATGTAAGTTCATGATCCAATCACTACATTCAGTCTAGTGATTGAATATCTAACTTGGTTACATACAACAGATGCTCTTTGCTGTGCTTGTATTTAAGCTCTTTGTCTGTCTGTATAGAGTATACACAGCTTCTCAGCCTACCATCTTCGTATGCAAAGTTGTATATTGTGTGATTTCACGTAAGCATGTAGTTAAGTGAATTATAAGCATTACATCACTAGTAAACAAACATTATACTGTAGATAGTATTATGTAGTTACGCACGTTGTACTATCGGCAAAGTTTACAATTTTTAAACAAACTCGCTATCCACCAGCCGTTTTCCGTGTGGTCGCTCGCGCCGAGTGATGCAAAATCACCTAACGACGGTCATGCATGGTCGACTGCCAACTTGTCGATTGTACCTATGTGAATTTAATGCACTTAGTTTGATAAAACAATACACGTGAGTTCGTATAATATGGATCACATTTATGTAGGACAAACACGTGTTGCAATCACTAACTTACTGATAAAATAATTAAAAAGATATCACGACCTCATAATGCAATTATAATTACCATTTGTTTCTTCTCAGAATTATACGAAATATCGTATCATTGGGATACGATCAATTTAAATGAGTTAGGTACATGCACACATAGGTACCTAGGAGAGGAGAGAGAGAGGAGAGGGGAGTTGTTCCATGGGGGTAGGCAGAGACTATGGATCGCCAATTGCTACAATTCTTACATACCTCTTTTGCTTCATCTACAGTCATTGCGTGTATCATCGTCGGTTAAGTGTAGTTTTGATTTGGCTCTTCTTTAATATATCGTCAATCAGGTCGATATATGTCGGTTTCGGAGGTCCTCTACCGATGGTTCCATTCTTTTATTTCTTTCTTTTCTTTCTTTCTTTTTTAAAAAAAAACGTTGCCCCACACTAGGACTTTCTCCTGTGTCGTGGGTGCGTTTACAAACATACAATATCACAAACACATGACACCCAGACCCGGAACAACAATCTGTGGATCACACAAAGAGTTGTTCCGTGCGGGAATCGAACCCGCGACACGTTGCACGGCAGCCAGTTGCCCAGCCACCGCGCCAACCGTGCAGTCAAATCATCAGTCATTCATATCCGTTCTATATGTCCTAACCATTGTAACAACCCTTCAACGTTAGAAAAATGACAGTCATGTTTTGGTAATGGAACTAGAGGGCGCCTCAATAGAACCTATAGGTAGTCTTACTAATAATATTTATTATAAATGCGAAAGTGGGATTGTTTGTGTGTTTGTTACTCGACCACGTTAAACACTGACAGATTGTGGTCTTTTTCTCCCCGGGGACGCAGGCGAAATCGTTCTGCCAATGAATGATTATTCTTCGACATTTTTTAATTACATACCTATTTTTGTTTCTTCTGTTAGTATGAGTTTCAATTTTTCTTTTACAATAATTGTGAGTGAAAGGACCGTATGAGACTGCCTAGTTATTTCAGTTTTACTTAGTTAATTATATTCTGACAGTTTGAGCATATGTGCGGCCTACCCAAATGTTCTTTTGGTTGGTATTGTTCGTCAGGTCATTCAGCAACATCTGTTACTTGAGCTGATTGGAAACTGACACACGCGTGCTGCCATTAGAACGAGTCCGCTCAAACTGTTGTCGATCTTTCCTCAAAAGACCACTAAAGAATCAACTGGTACGGTTCTCGAACAATATACCTAGTTATAATCTGTCTGGACTTTAAAAAAGACAATGACCCCCGAGTTTGTTTCGGCGTTTCTTCTCAGAGTAGTCAGTTAGGAAATGCCGGCCATCATCTAGTAATTTAAAGATTGACGTGTGTTACTTTGTAACCTATTTGCAGAAATAAATGTTATTTTATTTCATCATTTCATTTCATTTCAATGGCTTAGCTCGCGTTCCGGTAAAATGCGATACCAAATCTTGTTACATTATAACACTATTTAACAATGAAGGGTCGCCAGATATATAATTACTAGTTTACACAGCAACAGGCAGGCTTTGGTCTGAACGAATTCGTCACGAGAGCATCATTAAAACGCTGAAACTCTGGTATTGACGATAACAAACAAATTAGGGACGCGTCAAAACCTATATAAGTGGAGAAATACGTAATAATAGAAATATGTGTAGTTTAATTGAGACCAATAACTAATGTTATTGGTTAAGGTAGATATTGCATACCAAGACTTATAACAACCGTATAGAGTGCATTATCCACATGTTCTACGATGCTGTTATACGTTTACTTATGTAAGTACGTCTTTAATTTCCATCTCAATCACGTATCGAGTTTTAAAAACACGTTGATTAAGAGTACTTCGTCTACATCGGATTATTAGTAAACTTCATCATCATCATCAATAGCCTATATATGCCCACTGCTGAGCAAAGCCTTTTCTCACACGGAGAAGGTTCGAGCATTAATCGCTGCACTTGCTCATTGCGGGTTGGCGAACGCTCAGGTTTCCTCACGATATTTTCTTTCACCGTTTGTCAGTACCTAGTGTCTATCTAAATATTATTAGAAAGTAAATAAGTCGGAAAAAGTCACATTGGTACTTGCCGTTGGTAGGTTTCGAATCCTCGTGCATGAGAAGCGGGCCTTAAACCTCCGGTCCACCACGACTACAGTTAGTAATCTAGTAAATTATAATAGTATGTTTGTTATTAGCATATAGTATATGTATGTATGTATTATGTATCTATGTGCGAGGTAGCTCCATGGTTACTATGTAGATCTTTTATTATTTGCTCAAGTTGCATTAATAAATAGCGAGCGGATGTCCTGACCTCCCTCCTAATCAGCCATGATCTAGGTAATTATGTTGGCTATTGTGAACACACTCCTGGATACGTCAGGTATTGTTGCAGAATGTGCAGCCATTACTTCCATGCACCTGACTCATCATTTGGACCTATTTATCCTCACTTATGTACTTGTAACTTGTGAAGTATGCCTGTCATATAATTATGCCTATTCTCCCATCACGCTCGCGTTGGAATGCCTCATCGTTACTATGAGTAATGTTAGATCTGTGGTAGCAAACGCGATTGTTGTCAAGAGTTTTCCAGTTCGATTCTGAAGTGAGTATAAGATACTTTTAACATACAGCTATCAAAAGTATTTTAGTAATCAAGAAAACATTAGACAATGTTCATAAAATAGCTAAAAGCCACAGTGACTGGAAAACGTGATAGCGACCGAAATCCTCTTGAAAATCATGAATCGGTTTTGGTATTCTGAAAACCAATTAGGTACAGTTTTCCAAAGAGAAAAGTGGATACCTTTGACATTTCATTTTCACAGTTTTTATTTGATCTGGGACAACGACCGACCCTAACCTGGCCTGGAAATCATTTCCTTCGTTTATTTAATATCGTACGCGGACCGGACGTGCCGTACACGGGCCGGATAGAGGTGACGTCTCTGTGTCTGACTCCTGCGACATGCAACTAATTGCGCGCCCTACAAACTAGACTTGGATACAAAGTTATGAAAAATTGTTAAGATAGTGACCTAAGGCTTATCTATTGACCTTTTATTGCAATTAGTAGAATCACATGAAATCGATACGTTTGCGCACCTCTTCGTTAAGACGAGAGGGGTAACAGTCCTCGCATGGCTACTTTATATCGGCGGCTCATAACACCCTCTCCAGTGTTGCGGAGTGACCAGTGAGCGCTCAGCGGCCGACATGCTGACTCAGCAACGCGTCTACTTAGGGAAAGCCGGGTACTTTACTAAAATATTCAGCGTAACTAACAAGAAACTATAAACTATACTAACGGCTATTGTGTGTGCATAAGTGATTATTGTTCTAAAGTGCCTCCTTACTTGTTGCAGCAGTGTAGCGGACGGTTACGGCATGTTCCAGTCCAGGGAACAGATCATCTCGGACTCCAAAGGACAGTTGGAGTTGGAGAATGGAAAGGCCCTGAATGGTCAACACAACGATGGTCATCATCATGTGACGCATCCCACTTCGTGAGTAACTTATACAAGTGACTTTTAAGTTTTGCCAATTATTTAAAGTATAAAAAATAATCTGAAGTTATTGCAGTAGGTACCTATAAGCAGTTTGTATGTTTGTAGTATTTGTATTGAGGATTCTAACTTGTTAGGTATCTTTCTTACGAAACTGACAGTGTACAACAACTGTTAACTTTTGCCGCAACTTAGTTTAAAATAAGGCAAGCATGCGTTGTGTGTTAGGTACATTTAACACATGCGCCTCTGCCTACCCTTACAAAGTTTAAATAGCGTGATGTTATGTGTAGATACGCTGACACGATGTTGCACCTGTTCCGTGGGAACATTGGTACGGGTCTCCTGGCCATGGGAGATGCCTTCAGGAACGGAGGCATCGTCTTCTCGCCCATAGTCACCGCACTGCTTGGCATCATCTGCGTACATGCTCAACATTTACTGGTAAGTACAATAAACCCGGCTGCTGAAGTTTCAGTTCTAATTGTCAGGTCAGACAAAGTATTCGAGTTATTTTATTTTTCACATACACATCAACAGCCTATAATCAAAGGCCTCTTCTCACACGAAGAAGGTTTGAGCATTAATCACCACGCTTGCTCAATGCGGGTTGGCGATTGTAGACTTTTAATTAGAAATTATAAGCCCATGTTTCTTCACGATGGTTTCCTTCACCGTTTGTCAGTGGTATCTAAATAATCTTAGAAAGTCTAATAACTAATTCGGAAAAAGTCACATTGGCGCTTGCCGTTGATAGGTTTCGAACCCGCACACTCATGTATTAGAAGTTAGAAGCATGCGTCTTAATCCTCCGGGCTACCACGGCGTATTTTTTATTTTTAATTGCTCGTAAATGTGTACGGTGTTGCACCCCAAATACTTGGTACGGTAGTCGTTTAGCGATATCTTGGTTTTTGTGGTATTTGAATTGAAGTTTCAGTAGAGATATGGCGCTGATTAAAAATATCGAATGAAATATCTAACCAGTACAATCTAAATACAAGAATAAATCGATTAGGAAAACAAAATGACACTATTTATTATTTTAAAATATACAGACTTTTGGTGGCTATACTAACCATCTTGCTCATAATGCGCAAACTCATCTTTAGTGATTCGTAAGTCTTTTGTAAGTCGTAATTTCATATTCACTACTTTTATTACATTGTAAAGCATCGTATTTAAAAAATAAAAAACATGTTTAAAAATAATTCCTCTAAATTTAAAAAAGAAAATGAATGCCCAGTACATTAGCTTATAAAGTCATAATTTAAAATAATTCCAAAGTTTTGTAATCGATTTAAAAAAATATGAATCGATTTTTCCGATATTATTGTGTCAGTCTCTAATCAAGGTTTGATTCAAATCGTGCGTTAACATCTGTGGTAATAAAATTTTAACTGACTTCAAAAAAGGACGGAGGTTCTCAGTTTCGCTTGTAAGCAAGTATGTATGTTTGTGTGCGATTTCTGAACCGATTGTGATGTGGTTTTCAGAAAAGTGTATACAATTAGGAGAACTTTATAGTATATTAATAAACCGTATATTTTGCAATTAAAATTTAGGTATTCATTTTATATTTTCTACAAAATAAAACCAGCGTAAAATGGATGATAATATTGACCACTGTGGAAGGGATAGTCCCTTTCTAACATATGCGCTTCAACTAATAACATGACTGGCATAAAGTGCACTTCTATTTACGTAAGAAAGAGAATGAACTTTTCATAGCTTAATTAATATGATCCCATCATTTATAGCTCAACTGTTCAGAAGAGATGCATCGTCAGTCGAAACGTGACCGACCCCCAGGGTTCGCAGACACGGTATACCTGGTGTTTGCCAATGGCCCCCTGAAGTACCGAGGACTGGCAGCCTTCATGAAGGTGCTGGTGAATGGGTTCCTCTGCATCACACAGCTCGGCTTCTGCTGTGTCTACATCGTATTCATCGCGAATAATGTTAAAATGGTAAGTTTAATAATATCCTTGCTTTTAACGCTTTTATTTGGTCGAGCTATATCAATCTATGTAATAAAATTTAAGAACCTGAATTGCACAGACTTCAAATAGGTACCTGGTTGTATCATTATGAAACTTGGCAATTATATGCTACAAGATTAGATGACAATGAGCATACAATATAATGGTTCTCTCGAGCTTGCTTGATGTGAATGATGCAACCTTCGTTTGCCTATAAGAATACATAGAGTTGTTTCGTCCTAATACTAATGAATGATGTAACTACCTGTAAAAGCGTGTTTTAGTTCATTTTTAAGTTATTAATTTCTTATAGTATACTCCCTGTTATGACTAAAAGCGGGTTTTAGTTCATTTAAAATTTAAAGCTTAACTTTGAATTTCTTATATTTCTAAAATTCTACTGATTTTTATTGTTATTTGTTCAGATAGATATTGTTAGAAACTCAATGAATAAATGATAGAATTTAATAATAAATGGTTACGAATAGAAATTTACATTTTTGTATTGTTTTGTGTTTAGATTTCATCTCAAAAGCAATTTTAGAACGTATGACATAATGAGTAACACATGGTGATGTATTCTTCACAGATTTGCGACCAGTACAATATACACATTGACTTATCAATCCACATGATATTTGTGGTGGTGCCAGTACTCCTGGCTTGCATGGTGCGTAACCTCAAGTACCTTACGCCATTCTCCACCATCGCCAACATTATGATGGCTACGGGAGTCGCCGTGGTGGTCTACGAAGCCACCCAGGACCTGCCTGCCGTGGAGACCAGGGAATACATAGGAACATGGCAACAACTGCCTCTTTACTTTGGAACTGCCATTTATGCCTTTGAGGGAATCGGATTGGTGAGTTGTATTTATACACATTTTTAAACTTTAGTACTTACATAATATTTCTTGTAAAGCTTTGCGTTAAGAGGAGTGTTAGCTGTAGAAGAAAGATAGGCAACCTTTGCTCTGCAGTGGGACTGTGAATCGCTCAGCGGCTAACGTGATTACATTCCTTGTGATAATACATATGAGCGCCAAAAACCCAGCGCTAGTGTCGGGATACTCATACTTATCTATGTAAGCGAGAGCTGTTACTGCTGCTACTGCTATCAAAATATTTCCATTTAATGCGAAAACTTGATTGCACTTGCATTATTATTTCAAATAGTTCACACCGTGTATGTCTTACCAGTGTTGTGTATGCGTACCTACAAATTGTTTTAGCATATTATTGTATCATTTTTTTAATATTTCACATTTTGTCATCAGGTTCTGCCCCTCAAGAATGAAATGCGCAACCCGGAGAAGTTCCAGAAGCCTTTGGGTGTGTTGAACGTGGGCATGGTAGTGGTGGGCAGCATCTTCATCACCGTGGGGTTCCTCGGCTACCTGAAGTGGGGAGATGATGTGCTCGGCAGCTTGACTCTGAACTTGCAGCCAGGCAGAGTGTAAGTTATCAGAAACAAATCTTTTATAGACTAAAAATGACATTTCGTTCAACAAAAACTATCGATTTGTATTGTGCATTCGTAAGACTTTGATACTTCCTTTAGCTTTCAGGACGCAAGTAGTCATTTGATAATTTATCATCAAAAAAGTTTCCTTGATATTAAAATATACTATTTTAGAAGACTCAGAACGTTTCGTAAGATTCATAAAAAACATAAAGTTTTGTTAATGTTCCAGACTCAGCAATGTGGTGCAGGCTTTGATCGCGCTATCAATTCTGTTCACCTACCCCCTGCAGTTCTACGTACCCATCGCGATCACTTGGCCCACCATACAGAAGAAATACGCTACAACCAATCCCATTGCTAAGGAACTGGGTTACAGAGCTCTTCTGGTACTGCTTACTTGTAAGTATATCTGCTATAATTACTTGATAGTACCTAATATCTTTGTGGTAATGGAAGTCTGTCTTTTCTTATAAAATTCCCTGTCTGATCTTTTGTCTTGTTTCCTAGTTGTCCTAGCAGAATCGATTCCTGAGCTCGGTCTCTTCATCTCGCTGGTGGGAGCTGTGAGCAGCACAGCCTTGGCTCTGATGTTCCCGCCCCTCATCGAGCTCGTGTACACATCCCAGAAGCCCGAAGGGATCCCCAAACACATGCTAATCAAAGACGGATTCATCATCCTTCTAGGATTGTTCATATTCGTCACTGGAACCTACGAGAGCGTGTTCTCCATCGTCAGGGCGTTCCAGGTCTAGATCTTACACCTAGTTGTTAAATATTTATAAGATGAAATAGTTGTCTATTGTTGACTCATCATAATACAACCTTTATATTTTTAGATATCGCGCGTCGAGTTTTGTAGTATAACTATTTCGTATTTTCGTGAACGATATTTAATATTTAATGACATATTTATTTATTTATTGTTTAAATGTATTTTGTGTAGTTTTTTATTACCAAATATTACTAAACTAACCGTCTAACTTTAGAGAACTTCACAGACATTTAATGATTCATTAACCCAGGCCTTAGCAATTGTTTTCGGAACAAATCGTTACTAAGGAATAGTTTAACTAATTAGACAGACACTCTATACAACAAATTTTGCATTTAATGTCTCTGAGTACCTAATGCAGTTAGACGGATTAGTTGTAGTGTATATACTACCTGTTATGAACATGTTACCGCGTGGTTACCGTTGTCAATTTGAACGATCGTCATATAACTATGTCTGACGTTTGTCCTAGTAAATATGTACAAGTGTTTCTTTTCCTCTAGAGCGATAGTTGGTAATGTCTAGTATTACTGTCTCGATCACCTATCTCGTATCACAACTGTGTTGTCCCTTGACTATATTTTGACAAAATTACGCCTAGTATCAAAGATTTTGGGCTAATGTGAGAAATTTCGAATTTATTGAACTATTTAGGTACTAAACTTTAATCTTAAGCTCTATAACTTTATTTGCTGTAATATAGTAATATATTACCACATAGATCATTTAGTTATGCACAGTTTTTAATTGATTTATTAATATTTATATTTGTATGTCGATAAAATCCCTTACCTACCTCTCAAGAAAAGGACGTATTTTTGTTACATTCAATTGAAAAAAATTGTGCGCTGTACTGTTGGCACCCATGTAACCTCTTTGCCTCTGTCTATCAATCGTAATAAGATTTAAAAATCTGTATAGTAGTATTAGTTGAAATGTAGATGTTTGAAAACTTATTACATTCCATAGTAGCGTCATTCCAGAAGAATGTTTGAGCATTCCAGTTTATGATGATGCCGAATTTAAAACATATTTTCTTACTACCTTTTGACCTATATTGTCATTATCATAAGCTCTCTCTTCTTCTTAATGATAAACACCTGGTTATAGAAAAAGTTGTATACGATATTAGTTATTATGTACAATGTTGTGTCATATAATCATGACCAAAGTATTTTAGAGGCCTGTAGGTAAACAACCTACATTTGTGTACGTACTATAGCAGCTCGATTCTCGATATAATTAAACGTTAGGTTAAGTATAAAGAAGTAATCATAAATTATTAATGAAATAAGTTATTTTACAAGCATTTTTTAATTTGTATCCTATTCTTTGTGTTGACGAAGAACCAATGACCTAAGACGTCAGTTTTTTTTATACATCGTCAGTTATTTGATATCCTGGTTAGAATAAAGATGTTGAAAAAAGGTGGACGTACTCTCTTGAAACAACGACTGTGGTACCTGACTACTATAAACTTACACGCAGAATACACACACATAGACACGAAGGACATCTGTCGCGTGACATGGCCCGTCATTACACTTCATACATATATTACGGTGTTGCAAGTACACGCACACATATACACCACTGACATTTTGGTGCTTCAATCATTTGCAAGTGACATAACGTTCGCCTTTTTCAACGTCTTTGGCAAGATCAGTAAGAGAAGACACGTCATTTAAAAATATTTACTACCCACTTCATAATACACTCCTTACTATGTCATGAAGTCCTAGTACTCGGAACAAATAATTGATGTATTTTTGTTGCAACTGATTAGTGAAAATATGTATTGAAGTGGGTGGATGCATTGTCTTCGGAAATGTTGGAAAACTATATTCCAAAAAATCATAGTTTAGTTTCTGCGAACTTGTCTTTAGGTTTAATATGTTATCTGTAAGTTTTATATTGTTGTTATTCTTTATTTAATAGGTTTTCTATTATTTTCAATGTTCGATATTATTTATATAAAACAAAAGCCGCTGAAATGAAACGTTCGAAAACGGCAAAACATTAAAATAATTGTATTATTAATTTAGGTACAACCTGTGCTGGTCACAGGTAGTGAATAGTAATTATGTGTCTGCAATCTATGGACTGTTTACCCATATTAATGTGATAAGTTAACAAAGAAAATTCACATATATTATTATATTTATACACATATAGTAATATATTCTGTGATACAACGTAATAATAAATATTCTTGTGTAAATATCTGTTAGTTTTATTCTATTAAACTATCCCATCGCTATAATTATCTCGCATCAAAAACAACTGAAGTCAAAAGATAAAATAAAACAATTTTGTTGATTAGGTACTTTATTTTGGATTGATAATTTCAAAAATACGTTACAGTACTAATAAATAATTACCGAAGCCACATCTTATGCATCTAAGACAATATTTAGGAAAAATGGCTCTTCCTACAACTTGTGTCAACCAGATATTACAATATTACAGATCTTCAGAGATACTAACAGTACCAGGTGATAAATATAACACATCGAATTATGAAAAGGGACCATTTTGTGTGATAATACAATCATTTAATCTTTTTATGAATCGAGGAGAGTATTCGACTATTATTAGCGGATTATACTCATAAGCAGTATACGCTGCGACTTGGCCGCTTGTATCTCTACAAAGGGTCGATGTGCAATATATTTATTGACGGGTACTAAGAAAATTACAGTGCAATGTTTAAGTTATATGATTAGTGTCTAAAACTGCTATTTAAGATGAAATATGTATTATTCAGACATAGTTAGCACAGTTCATTTAATAAATACAGGAAGAGCCACCGCCCACACGTCTACAGAAGGTGCACAGACTCCGATCGTAACTACCAGCCTTGCTAAGTAAATTTTTCCTAAACCTTTGTTAGTAACTATCTATACAGTCCATAAAACATCTGTGCGACCTCTGCAGGCGTGTGGGCAAACTAGACTAGACACTTAAATGCCTAAATCACACACTTGTACGCACTTACTAAACTGGGAATCAAAATAGAAGTTAGCACATCCTCACTACTAGTGTTACAAAAATTGAACTGAGTGATCAATGTACAATGTGTTAAGTACCTGTTGAGCTTCTGAACTATTTAAGTATTTAGGGTACATTATCAAATACATGCGATTCACGACGTTGTTGTCTAAGAAACGTTCAATTTAATTTTGTAACAACTTACGATGAGACCTGGGGGGTTACTCTCGAATCTAATTTCGCTCGTATTGTGTATATTGGTATTGTGAAATTTCGTACTCTTGAGTTACAATATTAGCGTCCACTACATCCGTATTAAGTTTAGCTTCATATTCCGTACTCTGAATGTTATTTTTACCGCTACGATAAGGTTTGTATAGTGCCGAAAGTGTAATATATAATGAATAATTATTGAGATTTGGTTTTTATTGAAATTGTATTGATATTGAGAGTAGGCACCCAGATGTGCTGTCAAACAAACATTCTGAGAATTTCAGTTCCAGTTATAAAACATATTGTGATTAAACAATAAATATTGAATTTAGTCTCGAGTATAATAAAATTAAAGTCATAATGTAACTGGGTATCAGTTCGGTATACTGACGACGAGTATCAACACTGGATAGCATATAAGGCATTAGCAGAGTTTCTTTGATATTAGTTGTAAGATTAATAGACAAACAATTCGTCAGAGATATCGGAGATGGTCACTATGGACATTCGCGTATTGCACGAAACGTAGTTATGGATCTAATCTCCTTTACCTATAAGAAGACGTGACTCCTCAGCCAGTATTCCAAGACGTATAAAAAAGTCGATGACGTACAACGAACTAGTTTGCTAGACTGCAAATATCTTTAGGAATTAAAACATTTAAAGAGTGTGTTAAAATGTACATCACAATGGTCTACTGAATCAACTTTATCCCATCTAGCATTGTGATAAAATCACCTCTAATTGCTGATCTTCGGAATGAGTAAATAGTTTTACTTTTATTTTTTGTTGACGTTCAAAAGTACCTTTCTGGTCTAATTGAAATAAATGATTTTGACTTTGGCTCTATTTTGACACTCTTTGAATTTGTTGTTCATACAAAGTAGTCTCTAAACATCGGAAATAAGGTCTGTAATATAGTCAGTGGAGAGCAGTCACCGGTGATCGCTTGGGGATAAATGGGTTTGGTATTTAGTACAATTCACCAAAATATTTGTCAGTCTGCAAGCAACTACATCACTACAGTCCACTAGTTTCAGTATTACGTATAAGTGTGTGTGATTAAATGTACACGCTGAAGATAATTAGGGTACACAATACTTATTAATATACTGGGATAATATAAAAGATTAATATGCACTGGACTTACATACTACCACTACTGTTTGGGTATATACGAGATAAATAACTGTGGTCATAGTTCAGAATATGATAAATACAAATCCATTACTTTACAGGGCAAGCAATTGAATTATTGAGATATTTTTGGCGATCGTCCCTGTATTAATGTCATATTGAGCAAAATGCATTCATCATAGTCTGATCTATGAATAATCGAGTACGAGGCACGTGGCCGATATACAAGGTGTAGTCAATACTCAGCGACACAAATGCGTCAGAATAGAGTTTTCATTGCCGGGACTGCGAAGTAACCCGAGCTAAACTAATCTATTATTTAAAAAGTACATGCGCGCAAATTGCAACCTTCTGCTCTTGTCTTAGAATTTAAATGAGTAATATCATAATGAATTGACATTCCACGAAAAACTGGCTAACTTTATAGAGAATACTGATACCACGGGGGTTACCGGTGTCGTATAAATGTGGTTCTACTTCGCCCCCTTCACGCCACACATTATTAAAATTGAAAAATTCGAGATACATTACATTCTTATAAATATGGTTATAGCAATACACTTATACTAGATAACTAGCAATCTTCAGCGCATACATGGAGTATATAAATACAATATAGTATTTTGCAAAATACATGTTAATACTACATCCCTTTAGGTTGTACTAGTTAATAAATACTAAAAGTAAGTACACTGCACATAAACACCAACTTAGGTCTAAATATATAATACTGCTTGCAGAATGGAAACACATTTCAATTTTAAGGCTTTGTAAACCATGCCCCATGTTGGGCAACTCGAGAGCTTCTTGTATTTTGTAAGAAAGTATTTATGATATATATAGAAAGTTTCTAGGTATCCATAATTATGTATGTCGTTGGTATACAAGATACATCTATGTATTTTAAGTAACTCCGTATAGCATTGGAGATATCAATAAGGTATAAGTTAAATACCTTAAAGTACACAGAATTGGATACAACAAAAATATGTTATCAGATGACTGTTTTGTTGTTAACTGTGTTATATTGCTCGGACATTTTAGGTCGGTTTTTAATAAAAAGGTGTTTTGAACAGTAATAGTGGCCTTGCATGTGTTTCCTTCCATCTAATACAATAATTATTATTGCAGGAAAATGTCTGTGGCATCATTTCGCGGTAAACGTGCGTTAAGTACCAGATGGTGTACCGCATGATCAATTTGATCATCGCTGCTTTCACAGCTGGATACAATCTTCTATTGTTTTGTTGACTGTCCACACAATTCTTACGATCTACTCGAAAACCATTTGCGAAGACGACAAACACAAAGAAATTATTTAAAACCTAACCACAAAAATATTTACGAAAAGTTACACTTTTCACTCGACATAATCATCGCGAAAGAATCGACATTCAATAAATTTATAATTTAGCTCAATCGATATGATTTTCGAGTCGATTTAAAATATATTTTCAATTTTTTGTCACAGCGCTATTTTCTCACTAGCTTAAATTATAGAAAAAAACTGAGTTAAATACACGCGAATAAAAAACTACGTCGTAGAGAGGGAACGAAGTTCCGTGTTAAATTATTAAATTTAATTAATATCTATCAATGTGTAGCTCGATAGTGTTACAGTGCTAATGGACAGGTTGTCCGAAATTCGTAGGTTTGTCGAGTACAAAAATATAGATAGTAAAGATTAATGCGACTCAAAGAGGAGACAAGGAGACATCACATCAAAAATTGGTTCGATATAGCCAAAGTGCCGGTCGCTATTACACTATGGGACGCCCTACACGAGAAAGTGCCGTGTAACTGAGATGATGGGGATAAACTATAACGCGTTTTACTTTTTCAAAAATAATTGACGAACTTCGATAGCTAATCGTTTAGCATGTATTGCTACAAAGCAAAGTACCCGATACTGACGAACATACAGTTCCCCGCGTCTTTAACTATTTCCAACTATACCTCGCTCCCCGGCTTGTAAAGCAAAACACGTTACACGTTTCGTAGAGGCGGACATTTTACATTAAATGTGATCGAGTGACTTAATTTCTAGATAATTCCGAACTTACATTGACTCTCCTCAGTAGGGAATTAATAATATAATTAATGATGGACAACATCCAAAGAATAGTAATCCGCTTCTGCCTGTCCGCTTGAGGACACTTAGAGTAGAGAATCACGAGTGGGTTTGTGTATCGCGCGGAATGTTCGTGTCCCCTAGCACGCCGTGTTGGCTCGCTATTCACGAGTCACTCTGACGTGACAGTGCACGCGAACATTCAATCCAACTTACACCATCCTATTCAAATATTGCAAACTTCTCAAAATAAAAAATGTTTACAACCTAAAAAAACAATAAAACTTGTCGAGATTTTTGCGGAAGAACCGTTTGGTTCTTCATGTAAATAAATAAATAAATAAATGTAAAATAGAAGTATTTAAGTACGGATAAGTTAACTTAAAAGTTTGAAGCGAAATAAAATGTTTATGGCACATACAGTATAGCTCTGGAACAAGCAATGGTATGGTGGGTATGGGTGGGGATGAGATGGTACCAAAGGCAGTAATTTGTAAGCTGTATCGAGGTATCTGATGTCGGACATATTTCACAGGAATACAAGTAAATGCTCTGTACCGGTACTATAATATCAATTGAACAATGAATCTAGAAAATTTGCCAAAACTATTAAGATTTTAACTTAATGAAGATTAATTTTACGTAAGATTTTCTGGTTAATTACTACTGAAAATTTTGTTGAATATTTTTGAGTACTTTTTATTAGAAAATCGATTAATTGTTAGGGCCACTCCCCATGGGCTTTCCAGGTAAAGTGTGCATATTTGTTATTAGGTATGCATGATGTGCGGTTGACGCGACGTTGCCATAACGTGGGCAGAGTTTTGATTATTTCTACGCAAGATATAAGCATTTGTCTTTCATTCGTCAATTGACGAGAGCGTGCGTATGCCGTGCGCGGCCTTAGGCGTTGACTAGTAGCTAATAGCCGCTATCAGTTATTTCTGTTGTTACAAAGTTGGACTGTATGTGCCATAGACTTGCTTGCATGCATAGATGTGACGTATACTTGAACGCATAGATATTTACATATGTATTCGTCCATTACTTTTTCTCAAAGTGAATTTACAATTAAGAACAGGACAAACCTTCAGGTTAATTCTATTTCATAAGCTGTTAGGCGCGCTTTTCAAAAATTTACAAATGAACCTATTCGTTAATGAGTACGCGAGTTTTGAATCAGACCACGTCGGTGTCGCGACGTCTCGCGTCGACTGCCTGATTCAAAAACCGCGCAGTGATGAACCTACCTAAAATAATTATACTAAATAGTGTTATTGTAAACGAGATACTTATTCGAATCGCATTTCACATAAGGGGGGTATTTTGTTTGTTTTATTTTTTATTTGTTTTTGGTCCCGCCCTTATGTGTAACGAAATCGAAATTGGACGACATTTAAGATATGGATTTGTTCGTCTTTGGCTCAGTGGCCAATTCACTTGGTGACATCTCTCTTTTACTCTAACACCCTTCTACAGCTACAAGGTTATTCGTAGAGTACAAGTATTACAATGAAATCAGTATTAAGTTGGCATAATCAAAACATATTTTTACAGTTACAAATTATTAGTAGATCTAAGTTCTAAGATTCTGGATCGATCTGGATTTATGACTGAAATTTTAGCATTTGTCAAAAAACGATGTTAATATGAAGATTTTGTATCGAGATCGGTTATACATTTCTGTCATTCGAGATTTACAAACACATACAACAAAATGTTAAAAATGTTTGATACTGTTTCGATGTTAAGGTGTTCTAGGTAAAACTCAAGTCTTTGCCCACGACGTTTTTTTAAGCGCAGACCACCGTTTTGGTGAAAATTATAAGACAAGTCAAGGATGGCTAAACCTATCCTACCTATATGCAATTGGGTGAATTTGGAATACGCTTTAAACAGCAGACGTTACAAAAAGAGGATTGCGCCGGTAAGGTGCGCACACGACAGTAACTACTTATTATTATTTTTTACTCCGTTGATGGAATGTTTCTATGAAATTGTATACGGGATATAATTGTCGACGGGATAGCTGTTGTTTTCCGTTTGTTTTTTAGATGTTCTGTTTGTGTTTAATATTGGTCTGCTTATAAAGAAACGTCGTGTTCAAAAGCTATACTTTACAAATAACGCTTATAGATCGTAAAACTAGAAACTACATTATATATAAGATATAATTATCTACTAATCCCTTTATATCGGGACTCACCCAGTATGTTAAGTAATGATAGATATTACTTTATTTGACCGTACCAGTTCCTACTTATGTACATATTCTACTCTACTCCTAGTACTAAGTGCAGGGGACAACTTGAAGCCAATTCCATAGCTAAAATTTAGTAAATTGAAACATTAAAAAATTGTCATACTGAAAGTGAATACTGTTGCTCAAAATAAAACTATAACTTTTGAGATGTATAGACAGAACTTAGGGAGTCTTTAGAAACAAAATGTGGTCCTAAAAAGCGACGGTAAAGTGCATATTATTATATAGATAAATACTACTATATACTAATAATAAAATACCCGAACTAATGCTATTATGTATACAGTTTTAGACTATTTCATTGTTTTGGTGTCAGATATTGCAAAAATTGTATATTTTCTATTTCGTTTCCTAAACATTGACCTAAATTTGCTATCGAAATGCCAAGAGTTGTATAATGAAACATGAAAGCATAAGTACGGATATGTTAACCTACAAAATAAAATAGTAATACTACAAAATTATAATACTACATATAATATAGTATGAATTATTACTAAATTAGACTCTTTTTGTAAATATTAGTCAACGCTTACGTTCTATCTAACCTACGCGATAAACCTCTGTATTTTACAAATATGTAAGGTCCCTCTTTGGGATGGACATGGTTGGACAAGATTAAGAAAGCTGAGCGGTATTTGGAGTGGCCTACGTCCAGCAGTTGATGAACGGGCTGACGATGATGTTGATAAGTGTAATGTGAAACTTGATAAACCAAAGAATAAGCTTGTTGGTCCCCTAGTCCAGGTTATATGAAATATAAAGTTTTTTATATTTTTGGTTCTAGCATGGGAAAATCTTCTGATTGGTGGATTGCTGATGTCAAGCGTGTCGGATACTCGGATGCAAGTTGTGGAGTTGTTAATGATTTTATTCAATTTGTTGATGATGTTATTTTAATATTGATTTTACATTTTCGAAGACAGTGTACCCATGCTAGTACAAAAAGAAAATTACACTTAATGATTCCACTTTAGTTAATAATTACTGTGGAAATCATCAGCCAATAAAGACAGACCTTACACATTTGTGGATGAACAACCGTTAATCTAATATACTCTGCTTATACGAAATATATGCTCTGTATAAATCTCTGAATTGGCAACATTGATATATTCATCTAGTTCACATATTCGTCACACCCTACATGCAAGCCGACCTAGCTTAAATTACACCCTAAAACAATAAATACTCAACGAAGACGATGAAATAAAAGTTCTACACGGAGTATAAAGTTGCCAGCACTATACACAACTATATTCTAGATTGAGTTACAGCGCTAGCAACTCTTTACTTGTTTCAAAAGCATAAATGCCTGTATTGGCAGTGGTTCTATTGTACACAAATTATAATATAAAGACATAATTTGTGATGACATAATTTTAATAAACACGATAACAGCACGATAATAAGGTGTACTTAACGAACATGTGGTTAATGGCGAAACTTGTGGCGGCTGCCGACTTATAGAGCATTCCCCATCCGGTCGTGGGATAGGCTCAACGTCGTGTGTTGCGGCGGTACGGCGGCACGGCGTAACTCCGGCCTAGCTAGATGTACGCCATGGCCGGAGTTAGGCTAGGACCAGGTGGTAAACAGTCCTTTTTACTTGTCCAAGTGACGTCGTACAGTCCGATTTTTAATTACAGAGACTAAAATAATATTCCAACTGTTAAATTTTTTAAAGTAAATCTGCAAAATATATGGAAGCTCTTTTTTAAATGCAATTGGAAAATTCATGACATGTGGACGCACATAGCGTAAAATTTATATTTTTTATGAATTTTCGATATTTTTGGAGGTATGTGTGAATATAATGATAAGTGGACTAAAGGTTTTTATACAATGGAGCGAAGAAGAGCAAGCTACTAGTCGTATTGTGTCCGTGTAAATAAAATAATACAACATAAACGCCATGATTACCAGACCTGTGTCGTATGAATAATATCACACAATATTATTATTTGAATTTGACATTCGCAAGTGTCAAATTAGTCTCTGGCATTAAAAAAACGAACTTAAGATATTGTCAATAGATGTCGCTACAACCACGTTTCAGACATCGCAGAGCCGATCACAGAGCCGATAGTTATGCTATGCTATAGTCGTATATAATACAGTGGTACAGAGGTCACAAGTAAGCGACATTTTGGAAAGCACGTGAATGCCAAACGATACAGCTAATTAGTGATGTAACCCACCTTTTGCATCGTGTTGATTAATCTACGCAGACTTTGCAGTCTAGCTTTAACAGGAATAAAACTCTGTGTTCTACGCTACACTACGCTAACTTATGCGAGCCGTTACACCTGTAAGTGTACCTCGAGAGAGTTAAACTTACAGGTGTAAGGTCGCCCTAAAGGTTAGGTGTAATTCAGAAGAGGTTAGTTAAAACCGATCTCATGCTCCACTGTATATCTCCAACACTTACGTCGATCATATATGGTACACTTTGTCTGCCAAAATGCAGTGGAGTATGGCATCGATTTTATTTGCTGGCATCGAGTCTGTAACCTATTAGGTGTTCGCATAGCCCTCGACTTATAGTTAGCTCAGCAACGCGGAGTTATTAGTTGACTGTAAGACTAGGAACAGACTGTTGTGACAGTAAAACAAATTGAGTTCAAAATAATAAGAAATGACATCGATTCTTTATTAAGCACACGACATGCGGTAGGATCGATGCCAGGCCTTAGACACTGTGTTGTAGGTTTTGTTTCTCCTAGCATGATATTCATGACATAAACGAGAGAAAGTGAGTATTACATTTAAAATGCACTCCTCTGTCGATCCCTTCAGGGATCTATAGACATGATGTTACATGCTATGCCCGAGTCATGCTCTTAAGTTAAATGATCGAATAAGCAACTGTATTTAATTTAGTAACACCAAAGTATCTTGTATTTCGTAAATAAGTAGGTAATGAAAAGGCTGTATTATGTAAATTACGTGACATATCTGATAGTGGAATTTTGAAGATAATTTATAGGCATTTGTAATTTTGTATGATTGAATCTAGAACTTTTAAAATACTTGTCAGTGTCAGGCCTTGCGTTACCCCGCTACACGTCGCGTACAACAAAAACCTTTAAATACAATTTCGAGGGTAAAAGAAAATTGGTTGAGCTCCCCTATAGAAGTCAGCAACTAGACTTACAGTGAATAACAAATCCGCGACCATTTATAACCGAACCGACACCTAACCGAGTCAATCCAGGATTATTTCTATCTCCAGATGATAGTTACGTTAGGATCGTCTTCTATGATCTGGTCTAGGGTAGGCAGGTCTATGCGCGCGATGCAGCAGATCTCGTCAGCACAATGACGGCCGGTGAAAAGCCGTCGGATGCCGAGGATAGGATCCACGCGGTTGTTGAACCCGTTTGGGCGCGGTGGATTGCGCAGAAATACCGGGTACCTGAAGAGTTTAGTTATAAATTAGAGGTAGATAATAGATAGAGAATTATATTTTAAATAAACAATAAATGTGGAAATGATAACTAAAGAATTAAGAATTTTCATGTGTCACACAAATAGGGTTCGAAAAGCCACTGTAATCTCCTTGCAGTTTAAATATAGTATAACGCCATTCCCAGCAAGGTAGAGTAGCGACTCTAGTTCAATGGATCATAAACTCTGCACCAGTGTAAAACATGGTTCTTTCCTGAAATAATTTTAGGATTGGTAGAAAATTATTACTTTTTAAGGCATTTGATGAGTCCATGGAGTTGCGCATAGACCACGAGTCGTCGTATATCGAACGTGGGACCGGGCGAGGTGGTGAGCCTTTCGCATACTGTGCGCAAGGTGGTGCCCTGTTGCAGCGCGCACAGGATCTCCAACACGTCCGATATTGTGGGCTGACAACAAAAAATATTTTTAAATTTAAAAAATATCGATAACCTTTTCCCCTGTATTGCAGGTAACTTCAGGTTGCAATATGCCTTCTTCTCTTCTATCAGATTATATAACATCACGTCTTTTATCCCCGAAGTGGTAGTCAGTGGTGCAAATTACGGCACTTAATTAATGCCACTCTACAATGTAATACCCACTTTTCACTATTTATGTTACTAGTCCCATGTAATAGAGGGTAACCCTATTGTCATATACTGGGCACAATTCCTGACTCCTTAGTACTTTGCCCGACCCGGAAATCGAACCCGGGAGCCCTTGCCCGGCAGTCGCTCTTGTGAACAAGCGGCCTACGAGGCGGGTCCTCTTCAGTCTAGTCTTCTATTAGATTCGCCTTATTAAACAAAGAAGTCACACCACCTAACTCAGTTTTCTTTCATATCATTGCGTACAGTTTATCCGTATTTTCTTTAACCGTTTATCCTTCTATATTTAAATTCATCCCTCGCTCTGGTACTTAGTTTCTCTACTCGGCCGCGACCACGAGAAAATGTCATAGACAATAACTCCTCGCACCAGTTCCTTCATTCGATCTCATTAACTTTCACGATGAAAATAGCATCACTATCGATTTTAGTTAATACAGTGAAACCTTGTTAAGTGAGACATCAAGAGACCTGCAATGTCGTTTCACTTATAGAGGTATTCCACTTACCCAGTGTCTCAGATATACAGGTATAAATAAATATCTGTCTCATTACAGAGGGTTCCATTAATAGAGGTGGACTTGGAATTACGTGTGGAATTTGTGGGTAGAATAAGAATGAGTAAACAAACAATGTTATCTCAGTTACAGAGGTTTATGCATATAAAATTTACTCGCTATCTCAGTTATAGAGGTAACTATGATGATAAATGATAAATCGAAAGAACAAATCCCAGATATAGAGTTTTACCTCGTCCCACTAACAGAGGTAATTCAGTGCTAAAGTGTTGGGACCTCAGCATGAGTGCCAGTTATGGAGGTTTCTCACTTAACCAAGTTTCACTGTATTATTATAGAGGTAATATAGTACATCCAAGTGTGCGCAAACCGGTACATTCTGTCGCGTCACTCTTATAATCCAATCGATACCACCGTTTGAAATGAGAATTTAATAAAATGCTGGTGTGACACGGCGGTTGGCCATCATTGTAGTATGAAGTGAAAGACTCATGTCATTTGTTTGTTCGAAACTTGTATGGTTGTTTTACAGAATATCATAACATTTGAAATTAAAATCATTTTATTATATGGTTCTATTTAGCTTGCCCTGCTTGTTTGTTTGGGGCTTTAGTAATTTGAATTTTATCCCCTTCGTGACGTCAAATCGATCTGATATTGGTACACATGTTTCCAGGTATCCATGGGCGACGCCGATTGCTTACCATCAGGTGATCCGTTTGCTCGTTTACCGGCTTATGCCATAAAAAACACACTTTTAATCTTGATGACCATATAATATAAACCCATTAAAACTGTTTCCAAGTCACAGAACATTACATATTATGTATTCTGTAATAAGTAGCCAATCCCGCGCGGTGTCACCTAATGCTGGGCTCCTATTGGTCATAGAATTCGTATCAGTAGCTCCGGAGATCAAGCGATCCACACAACAAACACACTCGTCAGCTGTATATGAACATTAATTAGTACAGATAATAAATTGTAAAAGAATGTATTACCTTTTCTTTAGAGTCGTTCCCTTTACTGATGAAGGCTAAGCAAGATTTCTGCAGTTCAGGGTCGCTGAACAGTCGGCTGAGGTTGGGAGTAGCCCGGTACATGTTGCTGAACTTCATCACGGGAAGCAGAGTAACCTAGCCAAACAATTATAGTATTTATGTATGTACTACAAGAGAAGGAAGGAATGGGAAAAGGTAGGTTATTAAGGATCATAATTAGTTGTAGCTTTATATCTTCTTATTTAACATAGTTGCATCTTGGAATAGCAGACACGATCAGGTTAGATAATTCTTGACGTTTTGACATATTTATTTATTGTTTATTTATAAAATAAAAGTTGATATAACACACGACACGCCAATACTGTGTTTAATAAAGAAATAAATTAAGATTTCACTCAATCTCAATTGCGTGCAATAGTATAATTTCTATTCTAAATTATTTATAATGTTATTCTCTGGCATAGACCAGTCTTCTAGAATATTCATTTAGTATATTAAAAGTCAGTACTTACCACGCCGTAGTAGACCAAGTTCTGAATACAGGACTTGACCAGGGTCTTCTCTACGTTAGTGTCCGCCGCTATTTTGGAAACGTGGTTGTAGCCGTCGATATAAGGTAAAAGCTAAAATAAAAAAGGACCTACATTTATTTTCTACTCGACAGTTTTCAATTCCATTCAAGTGAAATGACAATGAAGACGATTTTTTTTAAACGTTACCCCACTTTAGGATTTTCTCATGTGTCGTGGGTGCGTTTACATACATACAAGTTCACATACACTATGGCACCCAGACCAGAAACAACAATTTGTGGATCGCACAAAGTGTTGTCCCGTGCGAGAATCGAACCCGCGACACGTTGCGCGGCAGATGGTTGCCCACCGACCGCACCAACCGTCCAGTCGAATTGTAATGTAATAGAATTTATCAAATCGGGGAATATAATCGTTATGAATGCCCAATGCATTATAAATTTCATTTTCGAATACGAAGAGTACTTAAGTAATATCTATTATTTTTAAGTCTTCATTAAAACCGTTCCTTGACATTTCAAACAATCAATATTTGCTGTTCAAATAAACAGAAATATAAGTCCAAGTATAAACCCGTTGAAAATAAATTCCTAAATTTGTTCATACAAAAGTAGTCTCTAAACATTGGAAATAAGGTCTATAATGTAGTTAGTGGAGAGCGGTCACCGGTGACCGCTTGGGGGTATACTTTGATTACTATCACAACTAGTAGAGTATTTACAGAAGTGAGAGTAAAGTGTAAGAGAGCCATGCTTCGGCACGAATGGGCCGCCTGAGTAAATTATTTATCAAACCCCAAACCAACAATCCTAATCTCCTAAAGGTCGGTAACGCACTTGTAACGCCTCTGATGTTCTGAGTGTCCATGGGCGACGCCGATTGCTTACCATCACGTGATCCGTGTGCTCCTTTGCCGGCTTATCCCATAAAAAAGGATGTTGATGTACAAAGATAATACTTTTTACCAAAAGACTTCGCTTTTAAACCCTGGGACATTTTTAATTAATTTCTTTTCAAGTCCACCTCTAGAATAATTAATTAAAAACTCTTTTGTAATGTTTTTTTTTAAAAGAATAACAAGAGTTTAGTGGACGGCTGAGACCTTTGTGTTTCAATTCCTGTGTCTGTAAATTCAGTCACTGTAACTAACCCTGTAAGGCATGAGGTAATTAACAATGCACCATTTTTATGTTTCAATTTACTCAAAGGGGTTTATCTCTTTGAAACTGCAGCAACCAGAGCGGAAAATAGGTGCAAATATAATTAAAATACGCGAGACAGCGAGATCAAGTCCCTCCCTGTATATCGCTGACAAACTGTACAACATTGTGTGTCTGTGTGTGTTTAAGTGTGGGAGAGCCATGCTTCGGCAAGAATGGACCGGCTCGACCGGAGTGATACCACGGCCTCACAGAAAACCGTCGTGAAGCAACGCTTGCGTTGTGTTTCGTCGTGTGAGTTACCGGAGGCCCAATTACCCTCCCCTTCCCCAATCCCTGCAGCCCCAACGATCCTCAAACTCCTAATCCCCAAAAAGCCGGTAACGCACTTGTAACGCCTCTGGTGTTTCAGTTGCCCATGGGCGACGCCGATTGCTTACCATCAGGTGATCCGTCTGCTCGTTTACCGGCTTATGCCATAAAAAAAAACGTACACGGAATAAGATAAATTGTTAGCACCAACCTGCCTAGTTGTTAAGTCCCATTCGGCTTCTAGGTCGATCTCAAACGGTTCTTCATCATCGACATCAAGGTGTTCCTGGCTTTGGATGGGTTCTGAACCCTCAGGTGGAGTGGTACGTCGAGGACGGCCGGGTCTGGGCAGGCCTACAGAGGCAACGAGCACCGGCACGTGGTGGTCGAAGACTGGTGGTGGGTCTTTGCGTACTTCCAGCACTTTCAAGTGCATGACAGTGTCGCCCTCTGTCGAATTTTATTTGAGTCAATTCAAAGATGATCCATTTTTTAAATATTCACGCTAGCTTTTGCTTACACTTTACACAGCCACCAAAACCCAATTCATCTATCATTATGAAAATATTGTACCACAACATATATTCAGTATATTCTTGGGTTTAATAATTATATCGGAAAATTAAAACCAGGAATGATAGACATATTAAAATATAAAGTTAAAGAAAATAAATAATTCTATCGACTAAATAACAACAAAGATGTTTCGCATAGCTCAGTAACAACGTGAATATAATAACTAACCTACACCAATATGTAATCTAATACAAATGCAAACAAAACATGTTTACATTCAGTAAATCCATGTTTGTCTCACAATTAAAGTATTTTTTGCGTCTCTAGACGAGTGAACGACCTCTGTGGTGTAGAATATATGTTTCTATTTATAGCAGCTAACCACTCGTATAAATAAAGCGATACCTTTATTTTGATTTTCTGAATCAAAACAAAAGATCGAATGTCTGTAATATAAACAGCAATGTGCGTGGCGCGTAGATGAACAAAGGTAATGCGTATAACTGTAAAATGCATTGATAACAAGATGCGGTGAATGCGTAATCAATGGCTCGCATACAAAACTTAGCCTAAGATGGCGCTGGGCAACATACACGCTAGCTATGTATATTATTTATGTATATAAAGTGCCTACTCGCAGCCAGCAAAACGTCTAAGTTAATTACTGGCAAATCCTCGACTGGCTTCTTCCTCAGCGTAATAACTCAAACACAATTCCTCTTGTTAGAGAATTTATTGAAGTAACTCTAGTGATGGTTGAAACTGAGTGAGACTTCGTATGAAATGTTGAGTTAATTAGTTTGTAACACCAACAGCTTGTACTACAAGATAAATATTAACTTGCAACTTTCAAGTAGGAATATTCGCTTTGCGCCAGCGTTCTGTCGGCCAGCTAATATGGAAACTTACTTTTGCAAAACGATTGCATCCGGTAAGCCTCTCCCCCACCCCCTCGCAAAGGGCTACTCTCTATTTACATATGCACATGTGCACGAATGTGGTGAACATTCAGTGAACAAAGAGAATTCATAAACTTAGCTCGCACAGCCATCGAAGTACCTACGGCCCCGCGCTTCCCAATCAAAAGTTCGCAGTTACGTATAAGTATGGAGTTAAAACCCTACTCTGCACTCCCGCTACCCCCCAAAAATTCAATCAACCCGTCTAGACAGGGCGACATCAAAGCTTTGAAAATCCCGAACATTTACAACATACGAATAACTATCTATGAATTGCAGACAACCCTAACCATCCCTCACCCTAAAATGATTACCTTCCCGTTTTATTTTGAAGAGTACCATTTCGGAGCTAGGTAGATTTGGGCCCCCCTTTATTTGGCTCTCGCTCGCACTTATTAAATCGATCGACCCTATGCAGTTCCCCTGTCTGTCTGTCTGGCAGGGGTGACTTTGTGGTACAATGATGCAAATATTTATAGATGTTTGTATTTGTAAATGGCGGCCGGTAGCCCGCGACGCAGATACACGTGTAATACTTACCGACTAGCGTGGCTTTGCGATGAGTGTTCAGGTCATGCAGAAGGTGTGCCAGGAGGGTCGGCAGCTTACTCGATCCGCTCGACACGAACCGAGTCTCTTCTTCCATTATTGTCTGTTACAGCATTTTATATCCATATTTACTCAGATCTACTAACTTATTAACTACTATATAACTTCCTACATATTGTACACATAATGCTTGCAACCTATTTCAGCCATTTGTAATATTTGGATGCGTATACTGGTCACCGCAATACCGGTGCGCGGCGCGCGGGACTCGCAAAACCACGTGGTTTCAAAGTGGACGCTTATTGGTTTGGAGCGCGCGACATGTGGATCCCTTTCATGGGGTTTTGGACGTGGACATGATGATTAAAACTAAGTGTAAAGTCTTTGACGAATATCAAACATTTTGCCCAAATGTGGTAAACAGCGATGAGTAATAAACCATAAATAAACCTATATTTTATTGTTCAGAAATAAAACGCACGCAAAGTTTATTATAATTTTACGTGTGATTTTTACCTAAGGGGAAAATTTGTAAAGGATAATTTTGAACGGTTATGGTTTCGTCCAAAACCGAATAGTGTATTTGTGACCTCTTACTTAGGGTCTAATAATGGTCCAGAATGATTTTAATCGTGTCTGTATTTTTTTGGGCCTTCTGTTTTTCAACATTTATTTAAAATCAAAAGATTGATCTCAATTATTTAATCCAAATTTTAACTGTCAAACACCGCGAGGACTATAATTGTGTCTATAATGACGGTACTCGACGAGTTAACCCTTTGAGTACCGTCATTTAGACACAATTAAAGAACAATAGGTGTGCGGACACCGGTGACCGCTCGGTGTTTGACAGTTTAAATCTACATAGAGGTGTTTTTAGACTTTCCAGTCTGCCCAGGGCCTCTAGCCAAAAACCACTTTAGCGCTTGTCTACAGAGAGAGTAGAAATCAAAATGTATGGGGATGACACTGACAAGTGTCAAAATTTACGTCAATTCCATATAATTTGGTTTTCTATTCTACATGTAGACAAGCGCTAAATGGCATTTGGCTAGCACTGCAGGACTACCCAGTCTGTCAGTCTTTCTATGATTAAAAAAGAATTGAATTATTATAATATCAAGTTCTATACTAAACGTTTATTTTTGAAAGCTGCATGAAGCTCCGTTCAACTTGTTATGTTAATATTAAATGTAAAGATATCCGTCAGTCTGTTAATTGTAGACAACTTATGAGAATGAGACATGTAGTCACTAGATGTCATACACAATGAATACTTGTCACACAAAAACCACAATTTGGTAGGAGGGTGTTGGTGATGCGAAGGAGGGAGTGACACGGAGTGTATGATGGAGTACGCTTCAGAGTCAGAGTAATTAAGTTGGGTGACAATATCCGCCTAGTGGCCTGCAGTAGTTGGACTCCAAATGCTGAAGATTGGGCTCACGGAGATAGGACATAAGACTGAAGATTCTTGTCCACTATGACTTATTTGTTTTTTATAACATGCGTTTTATGATGCATAACATTTAAATTTATTTCTATGCTGGCATATCTTTTTCCTAAAGAATATTCTATTGTAATTTCGTTTAAACAACGGGTTCATTTTGTTTTCTTTAATACAAATCCCTGTACGATTTGACGATAGGCTGCTGCGTACCGTACTGCGGGTTCAATTCCTTGGGTGATTGACAAATTATAGTGTTCCAGTTATGCGATGTGCATATTATGCAATATGTTTGTGGCGTGGTTGCTCTACACCGAAAAAAATAAAAATGCTCGCTTCCGAAGTTTGAACGGATTTGGACGGATCATTCTATTATTGGGACGCGAACGTGACTAAAGTGGCTTACTCGCGACTGGCATATGGCATATGAAAGGACATAGACATGTGTGTGTTCTTGGCTAATAATATTGCTAAGTCTATCTATTGCTAAGTGTGTTGAATAGATTATGAACCCGACGTTAGTGAGGTGATATCCTTTTGTTTATTTAAAAAAAAACTGCCCCGCGCTAGGATTTTCTCCTGTGTCGTGGGTGCGTTTACAAATATATAAGTTCATATACACATGACATTCAGACCCGGAACAACAATCTGGGGATCACACAGAGTTGTTACGTGCGGGAATCGAACCCGCGACACGTTGCGCGGCAGCCAGTTGCCCAACCATCAACCGCCGCGCCAATCGTGTAATAAAATAACTCCTGAACGGATAAACCGACTTCGACTAGACTTGACTTTCTTCAACGGGAAACTTTGTTTATAGCTTTTAACTAAGCATCTTTAACGAAAATCGGATCAGCAGTTTTAGGGTGACAAATATTTTAACTTTTTAGTTTTATTATCAGTAGTTGGTACCTAAACGAATGAGCTGATTTCATATAAGATTTTGTTAAACGACAGCCTCTTTCATTAACATTATTTTGAGAAATAATTTTCGCTGATCAGGGACTTTTAATGGGGTAGACGACTAATTTTTATTTTAATGTCCGTCTGGTAGATTATTTAAAAACATTAGACACGTATTTTTTATTTTCTTACCGAAACGAATAGTTTCGAAGATATATTGATTTGAAATGTCGCGTGACGTCACTTCTCAGTACATTTTATACTAAGAAATGACGTTTTAGCCCCCACTCCTAAACTTTGATTCGTTTTATCTAAGTATTGTTTTATTATACAACAAAATAAAAAAATACGTGTCTAATATTTTTTTATTACCTAAGTTACGGACTAATTATATTTTTAATTTTCATACCCTGTCATCATCCCCATTCAATACTTTGTTACTTGCTTTAAACTTTTTACCCTTAACTATTTTTCTTATATCCTGAATGCGCTTATAACAATCTATGATAAATGCAAACAATTGTTATGCGGAAATTAATATCGTAACAAATTGTGCGGTAGCTGATCACCAAGCCCGCTGCGCCAAAAGTTTTATTATACTTTATTCGAGATTAACTGATGCGGCAGCCGGCTGTACCAGGGATTAAAAATTTCAAGCGCCGGTAAAACTTTGCCCGTTGCGTTAATTGAAACCTGGACCGCATTTCCACTACACTAACAAGCTACTACTACCTCTCTATCTAATTTTAAACGACGGGGAAGGCTTTATACCGAATGTGCGCCACTCATAAGTTTTTTTCTAATTTATGTAGTTTAGAGCGATCGGGGTTGACCAATACTAGTGATGGTCCGGTACAATAAATCAGATATTGGCCTGAACTTTTTCATGGCACTGTTATATCGATTTTTATTTCTTGTTTATAGAATTGTAAACTTTTCTACGATATGCCGATTTAAAACTTAACGCCATATCGATTTTTATCGATTTTTACTCCGTTACCGAATTTTTAAATCATCCTTTTTGACCTTGTAATTAATGTTTGACGCTATTAGAAATAATGACATTATGATTTATATTTTTTTTTTTACACTGGAACCAGTAACTATGACATATATTTTCTTTTTTTTATTCTGTTTGGTATTTATTTTTGACATAACAATTTGGACAAAAAAAATATTATTTTTCAATGAATTTAGTTTAATGAATATAATTGTATCAAATGAAGATTATTGTAATGTCTAAGATTTGCATGGACTTAGCTTATTTAATATTTCTACACCAGAAATGGTAGTGTTTCTATGTTTAATGTAACATCTCAGTGTGCCATGTACTTGGAAATAAATATATTTTTATCTTTAAAATAAATATCGCATCGTCTTACGTAATGCAGTGAATTCAATCTAAGCCTTAATTCGTTTTAACTTTTCAGAATTTTGTTTAATGTTTGATTTTCTTGTTTTTTTTATTACTTAATAAATGCTTTTAGCGAGTGTATTTCTCATCACCTCATTGGACATACTAACAAATGTTTAATTTTCAGACTGTCATAAATTTTACCTAATTATTTCCGTTTTTTTTAATATTCTTGAGTTGGAATTATTATGACAGGAATTTAAGGTTTTAAAAATGACCATGGTATGGAATCGAACCTTAGATAGGTTTATGACGACCTATTACAATGGGCATTGTAAATTGGTAAAATGCGGATATTACTTAGGTACTTTGGGTTATGACTTATGAGACACGTGAAACTAATTTATAACTTTTTTCGAACTTCAAGGAAACCTTTGCAAGGCCATAGAAATATTTTCAAGAAAACATCGGAGTGCGGTTGCTATACGTGGGCCTTAACAGTTAAAGTTTTGAACTCTTGTAACTTGTATAAACTTTTGTCGTAGAATTATTTCTTTGTGGTTCACGGTCACAGAAGTAGCGGATTCGATACTTCTTAGTTGGAAATAATTTAATGTTATATTATTCGATGTTAAAATTACACTTCAAACTAATTAATCATAGGAAAAATTCCCGATGTAATAAAAACTCAATATTTTAAATGGGACCGATGTCGAACCTATTTATAGCCTAAATCGAGTTTAATATCATTGCTAAAGTAACTGTAAAAATCTTGTCATAGGAATACTAATTAATTTGAACCGGGTGTCTTTTAAGACACGAAAATAATTCTGTCTTTGACGAAGTAATGCCGGAAAATGTATGCTGGTACCTACTACAAATATCGACATTGAAAATAGTAACACGTAAAAGGGAATCGAACCCTTCTAACAGAAAGACGTAAGATAAAAAAAGTTTCGTTGTTGAAAATAATTGTAATAAACTTCGTCAATCTATTTTTAACTAGGTATCGAACCCAGTTTTCACCCTCACGACGACTTATACATTAATCGAAAATTTGAAATATTTTAATATCTGGAAAAATCGAAGGCTTGTAAAATATATTAATATTTATACATCAGTTGATGCCAATGACGATAAAATTTGCCCTACAAAAGTACGAGAACGTAAGTATGAGGGAATTAAATTTTCTAAGGGAAATTGTTACGCGCGCTAAGTTGAAATACTGGCGGGAAATTGCCTCCACACAAGTAAGCGAACAAATAATCGTATTGTCTTTTTAAATATAGAATCAGAATTTTTCATTCTTGGGAAAAATTTACAGCGCCAGTAACAGAAAAAAAAAAATAAGGGACTTAGAATTTTAGGACATAGACCAATTAATTTTTTTGTGTGGTCTTATGCTAAATTTAAAAATTAAACCAAAGATGATATATCACACATTTTTAAAAAATAATTTGTCTGTAGCAAATTGATACTTGGTATCTTTTCATTGAAACTAACTTTCAAACTAATTCATTTCAATATATTTATCACTTTATTCATATAAATTTTTCGAATAACTCCATAGAATGATGTTTAAAATAATAAAATTGATATCTGAGTTGGAAATCAGGTGAAGAATTTTTTCAAGTGATTCACACTGAAATCCATGGAGATTGAAATAATTACAACTGTATAAGAGATAAAATTAATGCCTTGGCTGAGAAGTGAAGATCTGTAAAGAAAAATATATTAATTTATTAACTAGGTACTTACCAGATGCTCCCCCAGCTTCTTGACCACTGGTTCATACTGGACAGTCTTGGACCAGCTATCACATACGAAGCAGATATTGAACAGGTAGATGTTACGTTCATATCTTGGATTGTCTATTCGTATGGGATACCCCACAATCTTATGCCCAAGGGCATTTCTGAAAAATATAAAATATATTAGAAACAAATATTACCCTTAAACTTATTCTAGAATAAATTAATTAATTCCTATGCAATTATTATTTTCTAGTTTCACCAAGGAACCGATCCAAGGGCACTTTAATTTTTTTAATGTGTTCGAATTTATTTCACTTAAGAATTTCATTTATTTTAAAACTTCACACCAAAATCACATAAGTACACCAAATAAAAAAGTAAAAAATTAAAAGTAAAATAAACTTTTAAAAAAGTAAAATTTCTTTAATAAATGAAACAAACTCAAAATAAAAAATCACTTAGAGAGTTACTTACATAGTCATGGAGCATCTCTGGATCTGAGGCTTGGGTATTATGAATGCACTGATTGAGTCAAACACTTCTTTGGAGATGTAGTCTTCTGGAAACTGTTAGAAGCAAGTAGTAAACATTGGAGCTCTACATGTTTCCTCCTTGCTGTCTAACAGCATTCTGAACTGGCAACTAGCAGGCAAGGGGGCCCGCCGCTGCCACCCCCCAGCTCCATGTGTACTTGTACTACCCCGCGTCTAGACGGGGGTTGGAGCACACACATACATGCACGCCCGCTGCCGTCTAGACGCACTACATACGTACAGGTGCAGGTACGCAACTGTTTGATCAATATTCCACAGATCGCTATGTACGAGTTGCATGCGTGTGCATAACTTGCACACGCAGAGTACGCGCGGAATTAGGAACATAGTAAATTATTATAACAAAATAATGCAATTTGACCTTAGAAAAACAATGAGTCATACCTGACACGAAATCTTAGGGCCTGCCACGGTGTGGAATTCGCCGAGAAATATGCACCGTATAGGTCCTTCTCGGCCACAACCCTCGTAATATCGTGTTTCCATCATTTTAGTGGGCATTAATTTTATTTTGCCGTTTGTGCCGTCCTCATACTCTAGCTGGCTCAACACGTTTAGTCTTCGTTCCACTTGCATTGGATAATACTTAACGTCGTATCATAATATGAAAAAAGTAAAAAAAAAATAACACTTGTTACAAGTGTAAGATAAGGCAATAACACTGTTTTAATTTATATTTATAAATATTATTTAGAAACGTGAACGTATGGGCATTTTTGACGTTTTGTTTGACTGAGAATGAATGAATGATTGAACGAATGAAATACAAAAACAACGTATGAATACAATGAATGAACATCTTCCACATTTTGTAAGACGCCAGTGCCACAGATAATCCTTTGGCCATTTTGTTAACTTCTGACTTCTATAGATTAACGTGTTTGGGATTTCTTTAGATTTAATAGTATTAAAATACATAGTATTAAAATACATTGGAAGTACTAACATAAGAAACACAATACCACATTTACACATTTCACAAGACATACGTTGTGGAATAAATGTTATAGTTCCGACACAGTGTTTGTTCATCATTACCACATGATAGTTTATACTAAACTACACTAGTTTGATTTGATTATTAAAAAAGAAAAAAGTAGTATTATTGAATAAAACAGTCGTCTGTAAGTAAAGTCAGTTTTGTTTGACAATTTGTTAGATTTCTCATCCTATCACAAGATGGCGCTATAGGAAAAGAATGTCGTGAATAAAAATGTTGGAGGTAGCGAGAATAATTATTGTAGTGTTGGTTACGACTTAACTAATTTATCGCAGAACTAAACTTGAATATAATTGTTTAGATTTTAAGATTTATTTTGTAATCTGGCTTTTTACACCAAATAAACATTTTATTTTATTTATTTTATTTTATAATATTTGTGGTTGCACAAAAATATTAATTATTGAAACAACCTTTTTTCCTATTAAGTACTGTTTACAACGTAGTGGTCCGATATTTAGGTTTATAAAAATCACTACCTACCAACAAGTTTAAACGAAGTTCTAGCTACTTTTTAATTAAACATAAATCTATACACAATATTAAACACACTGAAAGTACAGAACTTTGAATACAAATTAAAATGGACTTTATTGATAGGTGCTCAGTTAGTCGAGTACTTCTGTCTGTAAATGTAATTACCAATGCAATACGGCAAGACCTAGGTACCTATAGATCCGTGATTGGGGAGAGACCACTCTGACAACCAATCCCTTTGAACATCACAAGATTAAAAGCATGGTGGTGTGCGTTAATCCTTGATTGAAATAAATTGAAAGCTAGCTTTTGTTAGCGACGTTTCCTCCCCACGATAACCGTGATGTTTGTATTAATTTTATGGAAGAGCTGTCTGTAATGCGGCTATGAGCTTATTTTACCAGCTTTGTTTTATGTAATTAAATAATTTTTCGAAGGATAAGACCACCTTCCTAAGTTAAGAAACTTAAACTGTCAAACACCGCGAGGACACCGCTGACCGCAACCTATTGTTCTTTAATTATGTCTATAATGACGGTACTCGAAGAGATACATAGATTTTACTTATAGATACTTTTACTCCCGTTTTTACATTTTCCAAACTTTGCCCAACTTTGGCAAAATTATTAGTGACCATGTCCAATCTAGTTTTTCGATGCCGAACGTAACAAAGATTATGTGAATACAATCCATTAGTGCGGTCCACTGCACATAGCTCGCACCATAGCGGCGGGGGCGCGCTACCTACAGCATCATTTGATTGAATACGTAGGGCTTTGTGAGCTTTCTGCATTGTACCTGCTCACATAAGCTCCCAATATTCCCCCCTCACTGTATAGCCATAAAACAATAGTATGGATGTGTCGAGAGCAGGCAGTACACAAACACACCGGCATCAATACACGTACCTAATACCTATGTGTATTTACGTGTCGCTCTGGTCGCTCACACAAAACGCTAGGCACTTGTGCAATTATGATAGCTCAATGCGCAGCCAATTAGTCCGACGCATAATTCCTGTGACAGGGTCGCTGGTTTGTACGTTTGTACGTCTGTCGCCTTGGAAGCTGCAGGTCAACGTCTGCCATTGTTGTCACCAATTACAATGGGTAGCATACAATACGACAACTGTTCTTAATAATACGTGTCCCGACAAGGGCGTCTGCCACAGTTCTATGACAAACGATGTGACTAGTTCGTCAAGCATTTCATAAGCAACAAATAATTATGATTATGTGGTGTGATAATTTATTTATTTATTTTATTTAATTCAACACATCCTAACAGGTTATAATATGGAAATGTGATGGTAATTATTATTTCAATGCATTCAATATTCTATATATTAGGAAATTTGGTAAATTAGAGTAGAGGCTTCACGAAACGAGTTCATTAGGTGGCATGATACATTTTTCAGATGAAAATTGAACTACCTACTACTACTATATACTACCCACCCACCTACTCGGAGTTGAATAAATTAATGCCTGCATTAGCTGAAAAAGTTATGATACCTATAATTGAAAGTTACGCCAGTTGTAGGTAAAGCGCCCGCCCGCAGTTTCATTACAAACGCTTTGTTACACTTCTATTTGTCTTTCACAATATTTCCTCCACACGTAGGAACTTACAGACACAAAGATGGAGCTTGTGCCGCAGTTCTATTCAAGGTTACATTGATGCATACTAATTATTCCCCCTAACAACAACCAACTTCATAATGTGTTTCCGGACTTTGATGGAAAACCGCTGCAGTTTTCCCTGTAAATATACCTAGGTACCATCTGCCGTTGGAGGACCATTAGGGTACCTATAGTATTGTATAAGTATGTTTGGTGGATTGACCTAGAAGCCAGGTGACAGCTACAGAAGGCTGCCCGTGAACCAGGAAGTATACTCAAGGTCAAAGTGGAGCATGCGCGGTTAGCACCCCTGATCATCGACACAACTTTGTCACGTGGTATAGTCGAACCCTCCAAGTATACATAAGTACAAGACGGTGCGCTAGTTGGGAAGTGTGTTTTTGTGTGTTATTTTTGTCCAAATTCTTTTAAAAAGAGTTTGCTTGGTTTCCGACGAATTACTGTGGTATTCGAAACGAAGTATAATGAAGTAGTTTGTGTTCTTTCTTAACTTCCATGGCTTCGGTAACTTTTCATTTAAATGGGTTAGTAAATCGCAAATGGGGCTATTTCACAATATATTTCTCCAAACTTTCAGTGAATCCATAAAAATGTTTTCCAGTGAATACATAATCATCAACCTACGTTTAAAAATATGGACGCAACCATCCCCGCGTGCAAGGTTGCGTCGTGTACACTATGGCCTCCCTTAAAAGCCAAAAGACATTTCGACGAAGTAAGATACCTACAAGTAAATGTGGAACCAGACTTGTTTCGTGTTCAACCTAAAATACAGGTGATAAAATGCCTCTTCGAGAGAACATTATCAGTGAGAACTACCTAAACGTTCTAGACGAACTTTCTATAGACCGATGTCTAAGTTTTATAACGAAAAACTGTGTAAATTGACAATGGAACAAACAATTTAAGTTAAAAGATGAGCGGGTCCGTGTTTAGCGAGGCCACAAGTTCTTCAATATCGGATGAAGACGATCTGTACACGTAAGTATACCCTCGCTTATCGCTATCCACGGGTACAATAGTTATCTAAGTTACTTCCCTGTATTACAATTTAACGGAAACATATTATTTTGTTCGTAATAAAATTGTAGGCAACGGAAACGAATAGAAAATCAATAGTATCAGCTGTACCTACGCACGGCCGCGGCAGTAAAATTGGCCTTCAGAGCGTCCTTGAGGCTCAGCAGCCTCGTAGCTACCTGCCGGTCGCTATGTGGACCTAAATATACTTCCGCAAACAAACATACACCTAAGTATAATTATCATGCATAGAAAGTATTATTATAGGTTCAGTTACATAAAATATTCATCACAAAATCATAACAAAAAGAAAATTCGTACCGGCCGGCATCCACGGATACTTCCGTAACAGGAAAATCAATGCTGTTCTTGAACATTCTTTACGAAGCTCTCGTGTGACTCGATCGTTGTAAACTAAGCGAATAGTTGTAACTACAATGTTTACCATATCATTATGGATTTAGGTTTGTATCGAATTTAATTTCTTTGGAAATCTACTAGATGTGTATGAGACTGAAAACATCTAGATACATTTGATTGTCCGTAACACGCGTCGTTCTGTTACAAACTTTATGTCAATACTGAAAATAATGGCTATCTTTATACTAATGTACCTAACAACGTTTTTAAGTACATCACGTCAAGGAATATTAATACTCGTCAAAAATTTTGTTTGCTCTCTGATTGGTTCTCTGTAACAGATCGTTCGGAAATCAGAGTTAGAACAATTTCTCATTTTACGGGTAAAATAATATATAAGAAGTGTAAGTGTGTGATAATGAATAATGTTCAATTAGGTACTTAGGAGCTACCTAATGACTGATTTCATCGTTTCACTGTGAAGTAAGATCCTCACTACTTACTTAGGTAGGTACATTTGTAGGATTCCATCTGACGAGTCGCATTTAGAACAAGGAAGAGATTCTCAATTCGGCTGTCTATGTGTTGGTTACAGGATAATTGCTGTACATACATCAAGTGATTTTCGTGTTTTCACTTCTTTATTCCTAGATTCGGGAAAATTTGCAAATATAATAGCAGCCCGCTCGCCGACGTCGGTCGGAGCGGACAATGCATAAGTGATTTTTGTCAATTTGTTTTACAATTCAAATGGTAACTCCACGATCGGCCCTCGTCTGCTTGTGTTGGACAAAAAAGAGGAATAAAAAGTCTGGTCTCGTCCTTGAAAGTAGCAAAAGACTCCCCAATAACCTAGTGGCCGTGTTTATGTAACGAAACTACTTCTATGAAACATGAGCCGCGTTGCTAGCCAACACGCCGAATTCATTTGTGTAGGATATTGGGGCTTAGCCGTGACATTTCACCTGTATGGTCTGTATTATAAGCACGGATGGACGCGATAATCGTTAATGTGTGCTGGAGTAATCGTAAGTTTTGGGAATCTTTGTGTAACATGTGTACGGAGGTACATCGCGAGGGTTCAATGGAAGTGCAACATTATTTATCGTCACCGACGTCAGCGCCATTCATTTCGGACATGGCGTATGTATAATGCATGCTGTGCGCCGCAGTTTCCTTCACCTTGAAACCTTCATTATATCTCGGATTTGTTTTCAATTGCAGATTCAAGGAGGAGCCCTGTTCTCCGGTGGCAGGCTATTCCTCAGGTACCGTGCACTTTGTCTCCTTTATTTTTACAAATGTTTTCTTTAGTTTTCACGTGTTAAATGTTTTTATTGTTTAATTCTGTGAAAAATATGCGAATTTTGATTATTATTTTTTATTTCGTGTGGATTAA